TTAATCATTGGTCCGTTAGTTACCGGACACCTTGTATATATTATATAAAAGTGTATAGCACGTCAGAAGCTTGTGAGCTTACAGCGATAAGTAAAAACAATTGCGTATTTATTTCATTGCGTTTATTTGTTTAAACGCGCGCTTTAATTTTTCCAACGTTTTTGCCTGTTTATATTTTAAAGGTCCTCTCTTCTAAAAATCTTGTTTTAAAGATCCTCTCCGCGAGCAAAATTCGAAAACATAAATTATTTAATATTTTTACTTTATTATTTGTAAATCCTCGGTAATTTCAAAATTTTTCTATTTGAAAATTATTAATTTTCTATTGCCAATTAATTTTATCACAGACTTTACTCTTACTCCCATTGCACTTTCGTTTGCGGTTTTCAGTATACGATTTTTTATCGTAGTTACTGCAAATTATTATTGTGAATTATACTTGTGCAGTGATTTGAAGAATTTACAATTTCGTTGAAATTGTTGATTTTTCAAAAAAATTACGAGATTCGCGGAAATTGCGTGCTTTCTTGGCATTTTCCGTTCGCGGCAGGCGGTTTATTTTTGATTGTTGCAAGTGTTTTGTTTTTTTTTTATTAAAATAGATAATAATAATGTGAAATAAATCACGATATTTGACAGATGTGCATATATATAGAAATTGTAATAATAATAATATTATATCATAAAATTGTAAATTGTTTCAATTTTTTATAGACTGCGATAAAAGATTTTACATTTGGATAAGAAACTGCGGTAAGTAAAAATATAAAATTCTTGAAAACGTACCAAAAATATTTGATAACGTAAAAAGGTGAACTTTGAAAAATAAGGAACTTAAAAATTGCACTAATAAATGGGCTATATGTGAGCCGTGCGCGGATGTAAGGTGTGTTATATCGAAATTTAATTAATAGAATTGAGAATTAATCCCAATTTTAAGTCTTACAAATGTCCAAGCTAATTTTTTGTACCTCGTGTACATTTTTGAAAGTTATATCGAAAAATTAAATTTCAATATGCGTCTTACATCTCACATTTCGCATACGGCTCACATATAGCCTATTTATCTCTTATACTTTATTTCAACTCTTATAGAAATTTATTACTAGTAACGCCAATTTATCACTTATTTCGAGTAATTAATCACTTTTATTTCGAATACTTAAATTACTGTATATTATAGTATTTTAAATACTCAAAATAAGTGATTAATTGGCGTAGTGATAAATTTCTACAAGAGAATAAGGAGCCTTTAAATTCTTAATGTAAAAAATTTCAAGTAATTTTCTTTAATAAAATTTAATTAAAAAATTTAATAAAAAAATTTTTGAACACTGTGTTATATCACATTTAAAATTGTGATTATTTCAATAAAAAAACATTTTATGTGTAAAAAATATATTTTTTATATTTAATAAATTTTATATATATATATGCATATATGTAAAATATTCTCTCTCTCTCTCTCTCTCTCTCTCTCTCTCTCACACACACACACACACACACACACACACAACGGGGGCCAAATCTCTCAAATTGGTCTCATGATCAATTAGCCTGGATTCGCACCAGGGGCAAAGTCTGTTGGTAATGTCAAACGAATTTAGCCTGGACTTGCACCAGGGGCAAAGTCTTTTGGTCGAGTCTACGAAATTTAGCACGGACTCGAACCAGGGGCAAAGTCTTTTGGTTCAAGTCTACGAAATTTAGCACGGACTCGAACCAGGGGCAAAGTGTGTCGGTAAGGGGCAAAGTCTATCGCACGAAGATGGCGGTCTCTTCTTTAGGCAGGCCTTTGGCGATCTGTCTATTAATCTGTGTCATGACGGAGCTCCTCGGTCTCCAATTGATGGATAAATTTCGATCGACCAATCAGAACGACGAGATTCGCTGTCCTCGATTAGTCGATCAAGTCTTGGTCGACCAATCAGGATAAAGAAATCTTCGGTCTTTAATTGGCCGGTTCAATTTTGTCACAACTCAGAAACCGCCGAAAGTTTCGGCATACGGATCGCGAGAATTACCGGTCGTGCTTTCTACGCGAATTTCCGCGGTTTTTCGGCATCGTCGATTGTGTTCTAAGCGGGCGATTGCGTGTTTTCGGTCGTATTTTCGGGTCGTCGTGTCGAAATATCGTTACGCGACGAATTATCTTGTAATTTTTGTACAATTCGCTGGTCGACTACGACATGGTCGCGTTGCCATATCAGTATTATATTTCTCAATATTTAGTGAAATGAATATCGACGACTTTTGAGTGCGTCGCGAAGAAAGTTGCCATCGTCGTTCAATAAGTGGCCTTAAAAAAAGCGACGCAAAAATCGGAGCATCGGTTTTATTCGCACGTGTCGTTTTGTTGTGTCGAAAATGTGATAATTTAAACTCGGACGTCGCGAACAAAAAACGAGTGCAAGTGTTTCGGAGCTTCTACGAGGAGGAGGAGGCCCTGAGTGGTATCGGGCAACGGCGAAACAACTATATGGTAAATACTTTTATTTATTTTATTATACTATTACTTTGTAATATATATTTTGTAATTTTATTTTTTGAAATATTATTTTAAATTTCACTATATAATTTCCATGTATTTATATTTTTCAGTTTACAACTTCGCTGCTGCACATCGTATCAGTGAGTCTCATCAATTTTTTATCAACGTAAATTTTGGATAATTGTTATATATAATTATGAGTAAAAATATTTTGTGAAAATCCGATTTTGCCAAAACATAATATTGTATATTTTTGTGCGTGAAACACGAGTCTGTAAATTAAAATCCGACCCCTCTATGGAGACGGGGAAAGGGACAGAACTCACTGTAACCTTTTTTTTACTTGAGAGTTACAATTTTAATTTACAGATTCATGTTTTACACAAAAATATACAATATTGTAAAGTTTGGGCAAAATCAAAGAACACGGAGCAGCTCTCCTTATTCAGTATTACCTTACAATCTTTTTGAATGAAAAAATTGCTTTCATGGAATATATTTTATAATATACTAGCAAGAGAAATTTTTTATGATATAAATAATTGACAATTTTGACTTTTTGATATTGAAACACACTACTTTGCAAAAGCTACAAAATGTCGGTTAATTTCTTATACAGGAAACATATAATAAGAAAAAGACTTCTAATATTAAATAAAAAAGCGAACAATTCAAATAACGAATTTACATTGGATTAAAATGTATAATATTGATTAATGTTTCGATCAATAACCCTTTGATGCTAAATCATGTCACTCACACATATCACAGCACAAATTTTAATATATGCAAATCCCAAAACGCTGAATTCTCTCTTTCATATTAAATATTCCAATACATATTTTTATATTAACGATATCTATTATATATATCACTCTTTTCCTTAACTTTGCGCATTTATAACTCTGACTGCAATTAAGATTAAATTAAGGATTGATCAATCATCAATTTCAACATTGTTTAGAAAAAATAACCAGGAACGCACTCGCAATAGAATATAAAAGGATAGAATATTGTTTCAAGGATTGAAACTTGAGAGAAAAAGATGTTAGAATTTAATTTAATGTTCAAAATATGCCCATACAGCACAGATTATTGCAATTATATTGCAGCAATGTTGCAATGTTGCAAGTTGCAATGCAACATTATAAAGACATTGCAGAGATATAGGTGCACAAAATTCCAGCACACTTGTAGCAACATGACATTAATATTTCGGAAATATTGCATGTAATCCAAATTCTATAATTTATATTTTGTAATATACAATATATACATATACCCAGCAAACACCAAGTTACAGCTATATAATTGTTAGTTGTAATTTCCCACTCAAAATATAATACGTGTATTATAACAATTATATTGTTGAGTGGAAAATTACAACTAACAATTATATAACTGTAACTTGGTATTTGCTGGGTATAATACTGTAATAAAATAATTTTTTGCAATATTGTACAATAAAAGATGTTGACGATAATCAATAATTTTATTATCTTCCAAAAAGCGGACATTTTAACATTGCTGCAATTCAACAGCAATGATGTAGCAACATTTTGCAGTGAATTTGCAATATTGCAATATTGCGGTGAAAGATTGTTGTAATGTTTTTGCAATCTAACGGTGCTGTATGGGTGTATTAATATTTTAACATTTCAAATAGAAAAATCGATTTAATATTCACAAAAAGATATTTCAATATTTAAATTTAAATAAGCAGAATATATAGATATGTACACAAACATATCTCACGCAACGTAATAAATTTGAAAATACAAATTTAAATTCGCCAATGCAGGACTCCACTTTATAAAGTTCATAATTTATGACTGCGACTATATATGTAATATTAATTTAAAAGAGTGAGCATCGCGCAATTAAATGTGATTTAAACAAAGTAAAGTTTTAGTCTTCTCTTAGGCTTTGAATTTCTCTTCAAAATCGGTAGGTTGTATATTTTGTCCTGCTATATTTTTAAGAAAATTATAATAGGACGGAAATTCAAATCATCATGTTGAATCATTTCTCAAAATGACGATCATTTGTTTTCTCTCATTTCGTCTCTAATCTTTCAAAGTTCTCGCATCCAAAATAAATAATTTATATTCCGCCCTATTATATCTTCATTATGCTTACATGCATCTCATTTTTTGCGAAATTTTAGTATTCTATACATACATAACATAAATAGCGAAATATTCGGTAATATTCCCGCATACATATACATATCCCTTTTTTCTCTCGAAGATGAACTGAAGAATTGCGAAATTACGATCCGCATGACTCGATTATATAAACTTCAACAGCGCAATCAGCTGTTTTTTTATTATAATACATTTAAAGTTTGTTGATTATATTACTGCCAGCTGCGAGAGAGGGCATAAAAATAATTAAAATGCCTTTGCCTAAATACAAATACCTATTCATATTATATGTGTGATCTTATTGCATTAAGAGTTAGAAAACTGAACAAACATACATATATATATCTCTTGTATTATTACTCGATACTATTAATTGGCGCGTCAGTTTTGATGTTGCCATTTTATACGATGTACATATTCTATCGTTTCGTATTTTAAAGTAAATCAACAGGAACCACTATAAAGTAAAGCGACGGGGTGGCTATGGTCGGCTAAGATCGATATTAGAAAAATAAACCTGATCTACGATCAGGCTCATACTTTAACTACTTATTCGGTTATTATTTGCTTGTCGCAAACTCTTAACTGGAACTATTACTGCACGGCCGGCACTATGAAATTAATGTCGTACAATTCGTACGTATCAACGTTGTTCTAGACGATTAATTGACGACATATTGTATCTATCTATTTCATTCCAGTAATATTATTATTCATTTTGCATATGGCATGCATTAGAAATTTCTTATATGCTTCGTTGTCAACGAAAATTATATTAACATTTCTCTATTATTGTTTTTCAACAAAATCTCCAATGCAATTACATGACAAATGTAATAAATTCAACAATTATATTCAAATCAGTGCGATTATTTTGAATGCAACTGTATTTTGTATTGTCAATCAAAATTGGAAATTTGCATTCATTAGGCTTCTTTCTTTCACGACAAATTCCATTTTTATGAAAATATATCATTTACGTCACACACACTATGTTGCATCATATCGCAAATTTACATTTAATATTTAGAAAATATACTATTTTACTGCTATTTACATATTTAGTAAATACAAGATTGTATCTACTAAAAATTTAATACCTACGAGGCATTCGATCAAAACACAAAATAAATAAGCAAATCCTGTTTGCGATTTTCTTTTTTTTTTTAATTAATAATTCGTCTATTATTTTATGATATATAATTATGGAACTGTATTAGAATAGCGAATATAGACTTTTAATAGTTTAAATGACTCAGAAATATCATGAGCAACTTTTCTTTAAAGATCGATGATAATAATTAATCTCTTTTTTTAATATTATTCAAATTTGCAAACTCGATAGAATAATTTCTCGCGATAATACGGATGTAGAATGTCTCGAATAATAATTTTTTACGCTTTTTAAGTCTGTCATGCCCCGCATTATTTAACAAGTATCAATCGAAAATTTATCCAGTCGCTTGCTTGGCACATTTCTGCATTCCCGTTTGCGTCGGAATTCCTTACTCTTCACGAGGATTTGGTGGCAGGATGCCTGACTAGGAGATTTACTTCACCATCATGTAGCTTCTTCATCAAAGACCATGCTTCTATTCTCGACATTCGCGTTACATCGTTACCGTTTACTTCGAGCAATTGATCCCCAGCTTTTAAAGCACCTGTCTTCTCGGCAGCACCTCCTAAAAAAGATGAAGTTAAAATTGCTGCCATAAGATGCTATAAAAAAATTCTATAATACTTTATAATTTTATTATTATTATCTTATTTTAATAAAGCGTTATCTTGTATTATCATTACAAATATATAAAAAATATTTGCATAAAAATTACCGGTGAATATCTTCTTGATAATCAGAGGTCTGTCCCCGAGAGGACTGCCCCTGCCGCCTTCCAAACTGAATCCCAAACTAGTTCCATCTTTGTAGACTGCCACAGTCGACGGTGGCCCCCACACTGTGTCCTCCACATTCGTCTCTAATCCTGAGAAAATTCTTTTATTTATATCGATTTTATTATTACAATGGTTCAAGAGGCAGAGTTCCTCTCAACAGTAGAGCAATCGCCTGATAATCGGCAAAGCCAAGTTTAGTCAATCTCAGCTCGCATTGGGGGTTGATTTGAGAAAGAACATAATAGTTCCAACTGCGATAGGAACGAAACCCGTGATAAAAATCTTATTGTGACTAAGAATGTAAGAAAACGTAATACTGCGTCCCGTAGAGAACGAGAATCCAATAATGAAATCGAATTAAATCTCAAACGCTCAAAAATAACACATATTTATTACCTTCGACGATGGTTTCGACACTCGCAGTCCGCGACCTCAGTTTGCAGTCCTCTTCCATCCTAGCTCTCGACACAACTAACACGACTTCCGATCTCGGTTGCTTTAACACCGCCATGCTCTCTCTGTGTGTGAGATTTCGCGTACTTCTACCGTTTATACTGAGGATCCTGTCGCTTCTTTGCACCCGGCCGTCCTTGTCCGCAATGGAATGCGTCAGCACTCGGTGAACCGTGATCTCCTTCACCTCGCAATCCGCGCCGCCAGCCAAAGTGATGCCGACGCTACCGGTAGGATTTTCCTTGTGAAGTAGGACGACTATGACGTCATGGGCACCGCGCGTTTCCTCTAAACTTGCTTCTTCTACAAGCTGCGCCAATTCCTGTTGCGAAATCAAGCTGGTACTGCTGGATAGCGAGCTGATACTGCCAAATTGTTCGCCGTAGCATCTATCGACATCCGTTTCCGTTCCGATGTTTTCGTCCACACTGCTATCTAAGCTTGGAAATCGATTATGAGTGCCGCCGGTGCACTGTTGCAACTGGGTGTTTACAGGACTCGCGTCTACAGCTCTCTTCATATCTGTAACGCTGGCGCTGCGTCGATTCAGACCGCGGGACGTCGGAATCTTCGACAATGTTGCGCTTCTTGTTCTCTCGACACTTTCCAACATTTCGTCGCCGCTATCGATGTTCCTAACTTTTCCCAAAGTAGGTATCTTCGAAACGAAAGGTCTATCTTCCGACCAGGATTCGTTCGATGTAGTAGAACCTCTTCTACAGTATCGACCTTCCTTCGAATCCCAAGTAGATTTTATCGGCGAGCTTGTTATTACGCCATTCTTTTCGATTTTCGGTTCCGTATTTTGCGCGCGGAGTAACTTTGAATCTGCTTTAGCAGCCAATATATCCTCTAGACTCATCTGACTTTTTGATCTACCAAAAGTTCCTTCGTCGACATGTATAGCTGATCTAGAGCGGCTCTTTGTCGTTAAGATTGTTAAGAGATCGTTTTGATCTTCCGTGTTCCTTCTGGGACTTATACTCGCTCTGTTTTGTGATTTTGAAGTTTCCATTGTAGCGACTTTTGCTTCGCTTATTGTGATTCTACTTTTTAAAGGCAAACTACCATTCAATACTGAATTAGTAGGTTCGTCAAGCATGGAGTCGTGTGAATTCTTTCTTGCCGTGTGAGTTATAGACGACGTTTCCAAAGTTTGAGCTACAACAGAGGGACATTTGTCGTATTTGTTGTTTGATTTTTCTTCCATGGCTCGCGCTAGAGTCTTCGCCTCTGCTCGAACCCACATTTTAAGATCGTTTGACGGTTCTAGCATTTCGGGCTTCGGCGGTCTAACAGCTGGCGGCGGTAGCATGCTTCTTTTAGGTGGCAGCTTCAATTCTTCTCCCTTCTGAAAAGATTCCTCATCCTTTGCGAAAGGATCCGCGACCTCTATATAAGCTATATTGACTTCTCGTTTGTTCGCGGACTCATTTCCCGAATCATTAGTTACTTGACGAACATTGCCGTTTTCGATAGTCCTCGCCATGTCCTCGTCATCCGAGAATTTTCGCTGGATTAACGGTGACCCGTTCAGATCCCTTCCACTCCGACATCTGGCGCTCGCTAAAATATTCTTCCGATTTATAGCCTCCACGCTTTGCGGTTTCAGCACTCTTCGAGATAGGGACTCAGCGCTGGCCTGAGATCCGGATGTCAGCGTCGAGGATGTGCTACAGTTCGTGTCGGTGCTGTTCGATCGTCTCAGCTGTCGTTGTGGAATTTGCGAGTTTCTCGAAAAAAGTTCGTTCGGTTGAGGCGATCGCGGATTCGAGCTGCTGCTACTGGATGACGATCTCTCGTTCAGACACGTTCGTTCCCCGAGAAGACCTATTCTGGAGCCGAATTGGTCTTTATCCGATTCACCGATTGAATCTCTGATATCTCGCGACACCGAAGTTCTGTTCAAATTCTCCGCGATCAAAAGTCGACGTTGATAATTCAGTTCTGTGGAGATGTAAGATCTCTCCGAGGAGATAGTGGATCTCTCCGATGGTGCCGGAGACATCGGCGGACTAAAGCCCCGAGATATACTACTTTGAGAGCTGCTCACGGCCGAATCGTTGTCGGAATCGTCGTAGTCCAAGCGAGCCTTCCTCTGAACCGTCCTTGGCCTGTTACGCGAACCATCCGGTGAGCTGGTTGTCGAAGCGAATTCGAAACTATAATCACTTCTCGTCGGGCTGCAGATGCTCTCCAGACTTTTCGGTGGCTCCGAAAACGTGGACGCGTTTGACGGGGAACTTTTGATTGGACTATTGCCGTTTATCGCGGAAGAATTCGTCACAGATGTACCGTATACCGTGAGAGATTTTCTCTTGAAAGCCGGGGAATACTTAGAGTGTATCTGTGGCGCCGGCATTTTAAGGATGCTGTCGCTTTCAAGGGCTGACTCGTCGTGCTGGCGTTGCTGGTCAAGGAACTTTGAGATCCCCACTTGTCTTGAATGTTTGCCTTTGGTATCTGAAAAAAATACGATACGTCATTTCAGCATTTTCAATTTTTACTAAAAATTTTTTAAATAAAAATGTTTATGCGAAAAATAGAAAAATATTGAATATAATTTGCAAAAATGGATTTTTCAAATTAATTATTAATTTCGAGAATCATATCGCAAAATACAAGAATTAAACTTGTAAAAAAATTGAAAAATAATTTATAAAATATCTCAAATATTTAAATTATATTGTATTTTAATAACTTCAAATCTTACCTGATGTAATATCGAATCGCGTGATTTAATTTCCGGTAGATCGACGATAGGTTGATCTATCGACACGGTGTCTTTCTCTGGTATAACCAGACCGCGTAGTTTCGATATCGATTTCCGCCTCTGTTCGATCAGCTGATTCAAGCTGTTTCTTCTCACGTCTTCTCCGGGTCGTCTAAACGTAGATGCCAGGGAAGTTGTTCTCGAATTTGCGAATTACCAGTCGAATCGGCTGTAAGAGAATTTCGATCTTGCACAAAGAAGGTCGAGCCTGAGAAACTGGTAGCTCGCGTCAATAAAGGCGTGCTCGTCTTCATCGAATTGTTAGCATTGTTATAAGAACCGACAGTTTTACTGACACTTGGGTACGCGGCGTTCGACAAATCGCTACTTTCGGCACAATAGTTCTTCGTCGTTGTATTTGAAAAAATCTGCTTATCGTACGAAGGCGATAACGTACTGGACAGTGATGTAACTTTCGGCGGAACGATTGGCAGCGTCTTTGGAACGCGCGTAGTTTGCGTAGCAGGACTTAATAGAGTAGGCTGAGCAGGCAAACTAGTTCTCTGACCATATTTCTTCGTGGAATCTTGCCCTGATGACGATGCTCTGGCCGAATCGGTGAGATCGAAAGAGCTCTGTGTTCTGTCAACGAGGAAAGTCGACCGATCCTTCTGTCCGTTGCTCTTGTCGTCGCAACAACATCTTCAGAGGACTTGTACTTGGATAAACGTTTGCCGTTACTCGTGATTACCGCGGCTGACATGACATTGGGGAACAAGGGCGCGTCGAGGTTGCTTTGCGACGAAAACATGGCGATTTTGTCTCGGACGGATCGCTCGGACTTGTCATCCTGCCTCCAGAGATCGCCGTTCAGAGAAAACTTTCTATGCGGCGACTCCATCGTAGAAACGTTTTTGGCATGCAATGCCATTTGCTCCATCTTAGGTGGACCTAAGTAATACATTATATTTACAAAAAGTATAAAAGTACACGGAGAGAATTTTCTCTAATCTTCTTAAAATTTATTCACGGTAAATTCTACTATGTACATAGTAAAATTAATTGAACATATTTTATATCTAATTGTGGTAGATATTTTTTATTGTGTGTAAAATTATTAATCAGAGAAACTCTTATAAAATTCTTCCAATATCATAATTTTCAGGGTAAATTCTAAAAACAAATTCTCTCTGTGTACATAAAAAAAAAAACGATAAATGTGCCATCATGTTTCAGATTAATTTCGAAAGAAAAATCAATTTTGTCGAAATATATTACGTCGAATCTAATAACTTGATATGTGTCAGCGTTGCTTGTCGAAGAAAAAATAAAGGAGGACAAGTAGAGGTTTAATTCAAGCTAAATGAGTACCTGTCAACGGTAGAGGCGGAGGGGTATCGACGGGCGTGTCCTTTTCCACGTGGCTTGGCATCTCCTCGATCGTCATCGCGTCCTTGTGATAATATCCGGCGATCTCCGTCTTCTTCTCGCTAATCGTTGAGTTGGTCGTTTGGCAAGAATAAAGAGAGCTTCCCGCGACGACAGAAGCGTTTCTCTTCGCGGTATCTTCCGAAGTGTGAAAGAATGCTTTTGTCTCTTCATTAGAAACCTCGCAATCCTTCGTTTTATCCTGACAGGCATTGTTATCATTAGTCGAAGTAGTCTTGGTTTCTATATCCTGTCGGATATGCTCTGTCGTCGAAGCAGCTTTGCTTAGTCTTGCGTCACGTTTTCCGGATTCGTCAACGTCATCTTGTTATCGGGCAGAATAATGCTCCTCGAACCGACAACATTGCTGTCGTTCGCGAGCATCTAAATGCCTCGCCGGCACGAAACGTCTCATTCTCGTTGCACAATCCTCCATTTGTGGCTATCGTCGCCGTCGTCCTTGTCGCGGCGATGTATCTGTACGGTGGCTGACTGTTGCTAAATTCTTGATATGCTGCTGGAAATTCGTCCCCGTCCGGGGGCAGGCGTTGGCCGCCTCCGCAGTTCTCCATCTTACCATTTACCGTGTCTGCATTTTCAAATATGCATGTTGCAGATAAAAATTTAAGCCTTTAAAGACTGTACAGTATAATAAAAATATTTAATATTTATCATTTGAATGATAAAAATGTGAATAAAAAAAATTTATTACAAATAAATATAAATAAGATAAGAGATATATTTCTCTCTAAAGATGAGAATGAAAGATAAGACATTTTATGATTGCTGTTCCCGTTACACATTTGACAAGATATCGTTTTGTGGCTGTTTCGGTCTCTGATAAGGTAATGAATTTAAAGTGAAACATGGGATTTGAACAACACTATTATTGCTCAATCAAATAGATCGCGTAAACTGTCCGCAAAAAAAAAATCCGAAGTGTTTCGTGTTCTTTTTAACACTTGCAATTGCATATGCTTTTCTTTCCTTTTATGGAAATTTTTTTATTTCCTCTGTAAGATATACCAATATAAAAATATCTCATTGCGCACGAGAATTTTCTAAACTATTTCTTCCTCTATTTTAATACGTACGCTTATACCATGCGTAAGAATTCTCTCGGGAAGGAAATGCATCGACGAAAAAATATTTACACTATTAAATAGCGAACGTGCAAACCGCTCGAGTGATTCATCGCGCGCATATCGACACATTACACATCGCGATGAGTGTGTTATCGTTCAAAAAAATGACATCATCTCTTCGATTTTCATACTCCTCTGGTCTGACAAAGCGCGGCGCAAAATTTCGCGACCTTTCACGTTCTATTATATCAAGGAGAATTCGGCAAATATCTTAGAGTCTTATTTTTCGATCTTAAAACTTGAATCCTTTGAAGTTTTTATATTATATTCGTAAAGTACGATTTAAAAAAATAATCTCTTCTTAACTCGTCTTTCCTTTAATTAAGATTTATTTTGAATATTACGTTCGTATTTTTACATTTATTTTATGTAGAGATTCAAGCGATTCCAAGAATACTTCTATATATTTTAACGAGCGCCTATACTGATAAAATTTTGCATATACCTATCTATTCTAAGTAGGGGTATTTTTAACGGCGTAAATATTTAAGTCGCGTAAAAACTTTGAATTTTCATCATGTTAGAGGGATTCTTCTTTTGACATTCTTTTCTTTGAAGTCTCGCGAATCGACGTTAATGCTGTGTCGCTCGTCAGGTATACCGCGAAACTCTCCGACTAACTTGAATTCACATTTAATAAAGGCGCGCCCTGCGCTAACTTCTGCTGATTAACATTCCTGACATAGCGCAGCACAACGTAACTAATCACCGATACGTGCAACAGATGCACTTTCGCGCTGTCCGACGGTTTCCGATGCACATATGTATACATGTATGTAATGTATGTACGTACTTGTGCGCGTGTCCAGACGATCGCACCATATTTGTACCGGTATCAGGGACAAACCGCGCGTCGACTGTGTGCATGAATACGTGAATTTTGCACGCACATGTATACGTGCGTACTTCACGGATGTGCAATCCATCCGCGATGCATATAATTAGAAATTTGCATTCTTAATTGAAAACGCCATTACGGCAATCA